AGTTCCACTGCTGAACGGCTCTCAATCAGGAAGTTCTTCCTCATGTTCAGATGGAATCTCCTCTCTTGTAGTTTGAAGCCATTTTTCCGCGTCCTAGTCTCCAGGGCAGCAGAAAACAAGCTTGCTCCCTCCTCCCTGTGGCTTCCTCTCACATATTTATACATGGCTATCATATCCCTCTCAGCCTTCTCTTCTTCAGGCTAAACATGCCCAGCTCCTTAAGCCGCTCCTCATAGGGCTTGTTCTCCAGACCTTTGATCATTTTAGTCGCCCTCCTCTGGACACATTCCTGCTCGTCAACTCTCACGTATTTATACATGGTCCTCATCCTGCCTCCTCTCAGCCTTCTCTTCTTCAGGCTAAACATGCCCAGCTCCTTAAGCCGCTCCTCATAGGGCTTGTTCTCCAGACCCTTGATCATTTTAGTCGCCCTCTCATTGAGTAAGTCACTCTCTCTCGGCCTCAAATACAAGCAATGGCAAGGAATCCTGCCAATAAAGGCACATAATTTGGGTTCCAGGTTGGTCAGAAATGACTTGGAAGGGTACACACTAAAGCTAAGACAAGCTTTCCTAAACTCTTGTTCCCTTCTGCCTGCATGAGACTACAAAGCCTATCAGCCAGCCAGGAATGTCGATTAGATAGAGTGAGGCAGCTGCCTCAGGCGGCAGGTTCTGCTCCTGATGAAACACAAGTGATTTAATTTAAGATGATTATCTGATTTGTTATCACTCAAGAGAGGGAACCGGCTTTCTGAGTCGTTTTTTGTATTTGGCAAATGCAAAACTAGCTTTATATTGCCCACTGGGGCATACATTCCATAGAAAAAAGATAAAGTAGGCGCAGAGGATGGGATCTAGGAAAGAGACAACTGGGAGGGAGATGTGTGTATGTATACCGCACATACATATACTCCTGGGAGGGGATATCTTTGGGTCTGGATAAATTGGGGAAATGGCCCATCAAGGCAGCTCAATGGCTTACCATTTACAAGTGCAAAGGAACCCCTTCTGCATAGCAGGAAAGAAAGAAAGACAAACAGACAAACAGAAAAGGCCCTTCTTTTGTTTTGTTCTTGGGGGTGGGGGGTAGTTTTAGAAAGGGGAGGTAAAAAACAGAATATAAACTATAATAATGTAGTAACAACAATGTAGAGTCGAAGGCTTGGCTGGTTGGAAGGCAGCAACCAGCCAGACCTTGAAACTGCAAGGCCATTCAATGCTAAACAAGGTGGCCAATTGCAACATTCACACTTGCCTCACAGCAACCCAATAATGACAATAATAGATTGATCCCATTGTGGGCTTGGAAAGTAGGGTTCCCCTTCCTTAATATAACAGTAATAATACATTATTATTATTATTATTATTATTATTATTATTATTATTATTGGGTTGTTGTAGGTTTTTTTCCGGGCTATTTGGCCATGTTCTAGAGGCATTCTCTCCTCTAGTCGCCCTCCCATTGAGTAAGTCACTCTCTCTCGGCCTCAAAGGCAGGCAATGGAAAGGAATCCTGCCAAGAAAGGCCCATAATTTGGGTTCCAGGTTGGTCAGAAATGACTTGGAAGGATACACACTAAAGCTAAGAAAAGCTTTCCTAAACTCTTGTTCCCTTCTGCCTGCATGAGACTACAAAGCCTATCATCCAGCCAGGCCATGAAAGCGTTCGACAATTCTGGCCATGAAAGCGTTCGACAATACTTGTTGTAATATTAAGGAAGGGGACTTCCACCTTCCCAAACCCACCATAGTATTAATAATAATAATAATAATAATAATAATAATAATAATAATAATAATGTATTATTACGGTTATATTAAGGATGGGGAACTCTACTTTTCAAGCCCACAATGGGATCAATCTATTATTATTATTATTATTGGGTTGCTGTGAGGCAAGTGTGAAAGTTGCAATTGGCCACCTTGATTAGCATTGAATGGCCTTGCAGCTTCAAGGACTAGCTGGTTCCTGCCTTCCAACCAGCCAAGCCTTCGACAATACATTGTTATTACATTATTATCATTTATATTCTGTTTTTTTTTTTTTACCTTCTGGAACATGGCCAGGCAGCCTGGAAAACTCACAACAACCCAATTATAATAGATCAAATGGTGGGTTTGGAAAGGTGGGTGTCTCCTTCCATAATAATAATAACAATAATAATAATGGGTTGTTGTAGGTTTTTTCGGGCTATATGGCCATGTTCTAAAGGCATTAAAATGCCTTTAGAACATGGCCATATAGCCCGAAAAAACCTACAACAGCCCAGTGATTCCGGCCATGAAAGCCTTCGACAATACAATAATAATAATAATAATAATAATAATAATAATAATAATAATAATAATAATCGCTTCCCTAGTGGGGGAGCATCCTTCTTAATAATAGTAAGAATAATGATTGCTTCCATGGTGGGGGCCTCCGTCCTTAATAATAATCATATACTAGGTATACACATAATAAAAGTGAAAATATGCATGTATGAGTTTGGCTGGGGTGTCCATTTCCACAAATAGCTAGAGGTTCCACTGCTCAGGAGACACCAAAGGCCCTCCTTCCAATGACATTGCAGGTTACAGTGAGTGCCATGAACACGTACAAGAGCCCTGCCAATGTCCTTCACAAACATTATACTGCCCACCATCCAAAGGAAGGCTTTCATAGAGGGACAATTTCATCCTAGATTTTCTGTGTTTCCTCCACCACAGGCATCCCAGTGTTTCTTGCTCCCTTCATTGGTGTGGAATTTGCATGACCTGCCTACTGCCTCTCGCTTAACCCTTTCCTACTGTTTTCCATGGCACACAGCAAACAGAGGAATTGATCAGCAACTGAACATACTAGAGAAGTTTGGGGAGAATTCACCATGATTTATAGGAGTTGTAAGTCCTGGGATTTATAGTTCGCCTGCAATCAATGAGCACTCTGAACTCCACCAAAAATGGCACCGGACCAAACTTGGCACACATAGCCCCCATGACCAGCAAAAAAATACTGGAGGTCTTTGGGGAATATTCACCTTGATTTGGGGGAGTGGTAGTTCACCTACACCCAGAGAGCACTGTGAACCCAAACAGCGATGGATCTGGACCAAATTTGGCATGCATATATGATATGCCTAATTCTGAATACTGGTGGGTTTTGAGGGGAATTGCCTGGAGATTTTGAATTTGCAGGTACTAGGATTTATAGTTCACCTGCAATCAATGAGCACTTTGGACTCCACCAATGATGGATCTGGACAAAACTTGGCATGCATTCCTGATATGCCCAATTTTGAATACTGGTGGGTTTTGAGGGGAATTGGCCTGGACATTTTGGATTTGGAGGTACTGGGATTTATAGTTCACCTGCAATCACTGAGCACTGTGAACCCAAACAACCATGGATCTGGACCAAACTTGGTATGCACGCCCAATATGCCCAAAATTGAATACTGGTGGGTTTTGAGGGGAATTGGCCTGGGCATTTTGGATTTGGAGGTACTGGAATTTATAGTTCACCTACAATCACTAAGCACTGTGAACCCAAACAACCAAACTTGGCATGCACGCCTGATATGCCCAAATTTGAATACTGGTGGGTTTTGGGGAGAAGAGGCCTGGACAATTTGGAGTGGTAGGTCCTGGGATTTATAGTTCGCCTGCACTCAATTAGCACTTTGGATGATGGAATTGGACCAAAGTTGGCACACAGAGCCCCCATGACTCACTCAACCTATTGGAGGGGTTTAAGGGGACTGACTCACTGTAGTGGGAGTTGTAGTTTACCCTGAAGTCACAAGCACACAGAACCCCACCCAGGATGCATCTAGTAGCACAAACTTGCCCAACATCACAAACTGTAAGTACTGATGGAGTTTGAGGGGAGTTAACCTGGCGTGATGGGAGTTGTAGTTTACCCTGAAGTCACAAGCGCACAGAACCCCACCCAGGGTGCATTTAGTAGCGCAAACTTGCCCAACATCACAAACTGTAAGTACTGAAGGAGTTTGAGGGGGGTTAATCTGGCGTGATGGGAGTTGTAGTTTACCCTGCAGCCAGAGAGCATGCAGGACCCCACCCAGGATGCATCTAGTAGCGCAAACTTGCCCAACATCACAAACTGTAAGTACTGATGAAGTTTGAGGGGGGTTAACCTGGTGTGATGGGAGTTGTAGTGGGAATTGTAGTTTACCCTGAAGTCAGAAGCACACAGAACCCCACCCAGGATGCATCTAGTAGCGCAAACTTGCCAAATATTACAAACTGTAAGTACAGATGGAGTTTGAGGGGGGTTAACCTGGTGTGATGGGAGTTGTAGTTTACCCTGCAGCCAGAGAGCATACAGAAGCCCACCCAGGATGCATCTAGTAGCGCAGACTTGCTCAACATCACAAACTGTAAGTACTGATGGGAGTTTGAGGGAGATTAACCTGACATGATGGAAGTTGTAGTTTACCCTGAAGTCACAAGCACACAGAACCCCACCCAGGATGCATCTAGTAGCACAGACTTGCTCAACATCACAAACTGTAAGTACTGATGGAGTTTGAGGGGGGTTAACCTGGCGTGATGGGAGTTGTAGTGGGAGTTATAGTTTACCCTGAAGTCACAAGCACACAGAACCCCACCCAGGATGCATCTAGTAGTGCAAACTTGCCCAACATCACAAACTGTAAGTACAGATGGAGTTTGAGGGGAGTTAACCTGGCGTGATGGGAGTTGTAGTTTACCTTGAAGTCACAAGCACACAAAACCCCACCCAGGATGCATCTAGTAGCACAAACTTGCCCAACATCACAAACTATAAGTACTGAAGCAGTTTGGGGGGGGGGGGTTAACTTGGTATGATAAGAGTTGTAGTTCACCCACAACCTTGGGCATTGTGTACAATCAATAAGAGCTTGGAAGATAATAATAAATAACAACAAGCATATATAGACTCTGCCAAATGGTTCCCAACCCTTTCAAAGCAGCACAACCCCCCCCCCCTGTTTCCCCAGCCTTGATCCTTACCTTTCCCCAAAATGTGTCCTGGAGGAAGGTCTAGTTTGGAGGAGGCGAAGGCAAAGTGCTGAGCCAGGAAGCCAGGGACACAAGGCGGGTGGAGGGAGCCCCAGGAGCCAGGACCCGCCTGCAAGGAAAGAAAGAAGGAAGGAAGAAGGGAAGGAAGGAGAAGAGGAGGAGAGCAAAGCCCCCTCCCTCTCTCTCCCTTTGGAGAAAGCTTACCTGGAGCAGGAGGAGGAAAAGGTAGGCGCCCTGAAGCATGGCTTGGAGAGAGACAGAGAGAGATAGAAAGGGGGGGAAAAGTCGCCCTTGCCCTTGAGCACTTCTCCTTTTTCTCCTTCTCCTTCTCTTCTTTTTCTGCTCCCCCTCCTGCTCCTAATCCTTCTTCTCCTTCCTCCGACGCTCTGAAAGCAAAGCCTCCGAAGGAGGAGAAGAAGCTTCTCCAGGTGAGGCTCTCTCTGGGCGGGGCGCCCCAAAGCCACGCCCGTTTTAAAAGGAGGGGGGAGGGCAAAAGGCCACGCCCACTCGCCCCTCCCCTCCCGGAGAGCCCAGGTGGGAGGCAGCCCCCAGCCCTTTTGTTCCAACCTGGACACACAGCCTATGCTGGACCTTTCTAACAATCATTGAAACCCACAAGCATGTGGGCAATTTCAACAGAAAGGAAGGAACCATGAAAAGGAACACCTCCAGTATTTTTTTAAAAAACTTCTAAAAACAGTAAATAAAGGGCAAAACAAGGGAATTCCAGACAGGAAACAATCAGGGCCAGCTAATCCCCTCCCAACAAAGGATTCCCAGGCAGGAAGCAGCCAAGCCTTGAAGCTGCAAGGCTATACAATGCTAATCAAGGTGGCCAATTGCAACATTCATACTTGCCTCCAACAGATATTAGTGCTTTCTTTCTCCCACCACCCTAGACATTATTCTACAGGGATATAAATCCCACTTGCCTAGTTTCTAACAAACCTCACAACCTCTGCCACAGATGTGGGTGAAAAGTCAGAAGTGATTGCTTCTGGAACATGGCTAGACAGCCCAGAAAACTCATAGCAGCCAACCAGGACCAGGGAACACCTCTCAACAGCAGATTCCTTCAGGCAGGAAGCAGCCAGGCTTTGAAGCTGCAAGGCTCCTCAATGCTAATTATGAAAGGCAGAGGTGGCCCTAGGTAATTTTCAACGGTAAGCAAACAGTATTTTGCCCCCCCCCCCCAACCAATCACTGATATATATATTTTGTTTGTCGTGAGAGTTCTGTGTGCCATATTTGGTTCAATTCCATCATTGGTGGAGTTCAGAATGCTCTTTGATTGTAGGTGAACTATACATCCCAGTAACTACAACTTGCATATGTCGAGGTCTATTTTCCCCCAAGAGCGCCCCTGGGCAAAATCAACTATACTGCAAAGGCTTACTTTGCGTAATGGTGGAGCCGGCCCTGGGGAAAGGTCAGAAATGATTGCTTCTGGAACATTGCTAGACAGCCCAGAAAACTCATAGCAGCCAACCAGGACCAGGTAACACCTCCCAACAGCAGATTCCTTCAGGCAGGAAGCAGCCAGGCTTTGAAGCTGCAAGGCTATTCAATGCTAATTAATTAGGAGTGCAACAATCACATCTACCTCCAACAGACAAGAGGTTTTTTTTTTCTCCCACCTTGGACATCAATCCACAGATATATTATTATTATTATTATTATTATTAATAATAATAATAATAATAATAATAAAACTTTATTTGTACCCCGCTACCATCTCCCCAAGGGACTCAGTGCGGCTTACTTGAGACCAAGCCTGCAGCACATCAATAAACAAAGGCGATAACAAATAATCAATACAAAACAGTTAAAATAAAATAAAAACTCAAAAACAAACAATACACAATAAGCAATATCAATAACAATAACATACAACATTTAAAAACCAATAAACCCCACTTGTCTAGTTTCCAACAGACCTCACAACTCCTGAGGATGCCTGCCATAAGTGTGGGTGAAACATCAGGAGAGAATGCTTCTGGAACATGCCCAAACAGCCCGGAAAACTCACAGCAATCCAGCCAGCCCTTTTGGCCGATGGGGCTTTTCAACTGTTATGGATATTTTCTATATATATTTCGTGGAAGAGGATGCAATAATATTGGTAAATGAACTGTGATGTGTGTATATATATGGTGTATATATATGTGATATATGTGTGTTTTACCAATTATATATAGATATATATAGAAATATAAATTTCCAATATACTATATATATGTGGGGGGGTATGTATATCTCCAATATTATAGATATGGAGATGGAAAAAATATTACGGCAGGCATGGGCCAACTTCGGTGCTTCCTCCAGGTGTTTTGGACCGGCTGTTAGGAATTGTGGGAGTTGCAGTCCAAAACAATATGGAGGGAGGGCCGAAGTTGATTGACAGCTGGAGTGAGGCAGACTCCCAAACAGAAAAGGCACAGCTATTAAGGGAGAAGACAAGGAGCCAGAGATGGCATTGAAAGACCATGTTTAAATATTCATGCCCCCCTTTTATCCATTTTTCAATAAATGGATGGATGCAGGTGGTTGGCTGCAGGGTTTGGAGGCTAATGCGGGTTAAGGGGACACCAGCAGCAGCCGCCACAGCAGAAAGTGTGGCTGGAAAGTGCTGATTTGACACCCAAAAGAAATAGGGGAAGCCTTGATGCAAATGGCATTTCCTTATGCAAAATGCTTGAGATGCATTTGAGATTTGAGGTTCATGTGGGGTGCATTTTGGATGCATTAGGAGTGCGTTTGGGATTCGTTTGGGGTACATTGGGGTGCACTTGGGATTCGTTTGGGGTGCATTTGAGATTCATTTGGGGTGCATTTATGATGCATTTGGGATTCATTTGAGGTGCATTTAGGATTCATTTGGTATTAATTCGGGTGCACTTGGGGGTGCATTTGGGATGCATTTGGTATTCATTTGGGTTGCATTTGGAATTAATTCAGGATTCATTTGGGATTAATTCGGGTGCATTTGGGGGTGCATTTGGTATTCATTTGAGGTACATTTGGGATTCATTTGGTATTAATTCGGGTGCACTTGGGGTGCATTTGGGATGCATTTGGTATTCATTTAGGTTGCATCTGGGATTAATTCAGGATTCATTTGGGATTAATTTGGGATGCATTTGGGATTCATTTGGAATGCCTTTGGGATTCATTCAGGATGTACTTGAGATTCATTCATGGTGCATTTCAGTGCATTTGGGTTTCATTTTGGATTTGGGATGCATTTGGGATTTAGAATGCTTGTATTTGTACATAATCTGCATTTCGACAGCTTGTTTTTTTAAACTCTGTGTATCTTGCTGTATGTGTTGTAATTGTACATTATCTTTTGTTGCAGCCACATGGAGAAACAGGTAATAAATTAACTATTATTATTATTATCATTACCATATTATTATTATTATTATTATTATTATTATTATTATTATTATTATTTATGTACCTTAAGGAAGTGTCTTGGAGCTGGGACCCAAGTCTCGACCTGTCATTCTATTTATGCTTCTCATACTAACAGCCGCGAAGGCCATTTTATACAGATACTTTCCATGATTATGTGCCTGGAACAAAGTGCATTGAAATGCAAAGGTATCTCAGCCGCCCATTTTGGTATATTTTTGGAATTCTAAATAAGAGATGTTTGATCTGCATGAATTTAGTGCCTTATCTCTCCCCCCCCCCCACCCCCCGCATCTCCAACCACACACACACACACAATGCTTCCAATGTGGCTTAGAAATATCAGAAATGGGAATTGCACCCTGAAAGACAAATCACAAAACCAGAGCCGGAAGCAGGATGCAAATAAATATATACCACATTGCTTCCATTCTAAGATGCACTTTCCTCCTCATATAAACATCTCTAAAAAAACAACAACAGGATGTTCAAATTAAAATTCACTTTAGATAAGTTAAATTAACTTTAAATCGGCGTTTCTCAATCTGGGACCCCTGGAGGGGTCACGAGGGGGTTTCAGAGGGGTCACCAAAGACCAGAAAACACATTATTTTCTCTTTTCAAATCCTCACTATCTCTGAGGATGCTTGCCATAGATGCAGGTGAAATGTCAGGAAAAATGCCTCTAGAACATGGCCATATAGCCCGAAAAAACCTACAACAACCCATTGATTCCGGCCATGAAAGCCTTCAACAAGATATTTTCTCTTGGTCATGGGGTTCTGTATAGGACGTTTGGCCCAATTCTATCATTGGTGGGGTTCAGAATGCTCTTTGATTGTAGGTGAACTATAAATCCCAGCTACTATAATTCCCAAATGTCAAGGTCTATTTCCCCCATACTCCACCAGTATTCACATTTGGCCATATTGAGTATTTGTGCCAAGTTTGGTTCAGATCCATCATTGTTTTGAGTCCACAGTGCCCTCTGGATGTAGGTGAACTACAACTCAACTCAACTACAACTCAACTCAACTACAACTCAACTACAACTCAAGGTTATTTTGAGTCCACAGTGCTCTCTGGATGTGGGTGACTACAATTCCCAAACTCAAGGTCAATGTCCACCAAACCTTTCCAGTATTTTCTCTTGGTCATGGGAGTTCTGTGTTTGGTTCAATTCCATCACTGGTGAAGTTCAGAATGCTCTTTGATTTTAGATGAACGATAAATCCCAGCAACGACAACTCCCAAATGACAAAATCAACCCCTCACGAAATTTGAAGTGTTTCGGGTATTTGTGCCAAATTTGGTCCAGTGAATGGAAATACATCCAGCATATCCGATATTTACATTACGAGTCATAACAGTAGAAAAATGACAGTTCTGAAGTAGCAACAAAAATAATTTTACGATTGGGGGTCACCACAACATGAGGAACTGTATTAAGGGGTCGCAGCATTAGGAAGGTGGAGAAACACTGCTTTAACTAATGCTTTCTTTCTGTTGGCAGTGTTGAAATTGGTTTGTGATGATAATGTCTTAGAATGGGAAAAATAATGTAATAATAATAGTAACAACAACGACAAGAATCGATGGTTAAATTGGAAGTTCAGCAAGGCGAAAGTGAAGTTCAACAAGGAATAAAATGGGTCATTTCCAGCCGAATGGGAGGCCTTTTGGCCGTTGCCTCTTGTGGCTGCAATGCCAGGAATGCGCCAGGAATGCCAAAGATGCCTTAAAAGCATGGAAAAGAAGGTGTTGTGTGTGTGTGTATTAATTGCATGTTGTACCGCTGAAGCAGTCCTGTAATCAAACACCAATCAGGGGCCAAAGGGCTGAAACCCACCCGAATTCCCTTCTTGCAAAACAAAGCCTTGAATAGGTTTATGGCAGCAAAGGAGCTTTTGTGGATTACCTTCCAAGGCAGAAGATGCAACAGGAAGGAGGAAGATTGGCCTCACCTGACATCACCTTTGTTATCCCATTATCATTTGTTCTTTTGTTCTGGCAGAGCTGGGATTCGAACCCAGGCCTTCAGAATTCAGATCTG